TGCTATTTAATATAAATTTTATTTAGCCCTAATCCTTTTCTGGGGAGTCCTGGTGTGGTGCTGTTGGTTAATGTGCCAGACTGCAAAGCCATTTGAACTGCAAGGTTGGTGGTTCAAGCTCACCAGCTGCTCCTCGGAAACCCTATACAGGGTCGCTATGGGTTGGAATCGACTCGACAGCACTTAACAAAATTCCTTTTCTGAATATTAATTTTTGGCAGTAAATTGGTTGGAGTAAGAGGCATATATATATTTTATGATGTTTACTTAATATTGCCAAATTGTTTGGCAGAAAAGGTAAACAGATGTGCACTCCTAGAAGTTGTACACGGCAGTGTCATTTTCCCCAAATTTTCTTTATCACTTGTCTGTCTCCATTCCCATAAAAACTTTCACGACCATGCCTAGATCGCCAATTGAATCTTATCACTTAATTCAGTGCATAGTAAGTAACAGTTGCTTATTAAATATCTATTTGAGGAAATTAAAAAAACACACAAGAATTCCTACACATTTTGTGTCATCTTATTATTTGCAACTCTCCGGTAGCGTAGTGGTTACGAATTGGGCTGCAACCTTAAGGTCAGCGGTTTGAAACTACCAGCCGCTCCGTGGGAGAAAGATGAGGCTTTCTACTCCCGTAAAGATTTACACCCTCTGAAACCCTGTACAGGGTCGCTATGGGTCGGAACTGACTCGATGGCACTTAACAACAACAAATATAACATCACTTATCCAGCTTCTTTTCTTTGTTTCTTTATCCATTCCTCTATAACCCTTTTGAACTTGTCATTGGGTAAATGCTAATCTATGGTCTCAAATAATCTTTTATTTTAAGGTGTACTTATCTCACTATGCTGAGGTTCCCTTTCTATATCTGTTACTGTTTGGCTGACAACTGAGTCAAGGGGTAAGTTCATTCCTAGGCCTAAAATATGACAATCAGTCATATTCTCAGGGGGTGTACCACTCTCTATTTGACTAGTAAACCTGATATTTTTATATGATTTTGAGTTTTGTTCCAAATGTTTTTCCCACTGTATCCGGACCTTCTAATGTGATCCTTTTCAGAGCCGATTATGGTGGTAGCTGCGTACCATCTAGTTTTTTCTGGTCTGCATGTTGTGGAAATTAATGTTTACACAGTCCATGAGTTCAATGGAGTTATTGTTTCTGGATGTCATTGGTGTTCTTTACTTTTCTTCTCTGTGGATGGAGACAGACCAATCGTTGCACTTTACAACAATGACCCTCTTAAATGAAAAAAGATTGGCTACCGATGTGTGTACAAGAAGCTTCTTGTGTACAACTCAACATCTCATCAGATTTGTTTCCTTTGTTTGGAGTTTGATTTTAAAGTTTCATGTGACATACCAGTTAGATAAATAGACTGCTTAGCACTTCTGCTCTATACCTTAGTTTGTAGTATAGTACCTGGGTTCTTAAAAGCATGCGATTCGTCATCCAATTGGTCTCCGTTTATGTTGAACAACGGAGGAGGGATGTGTGTCAGGGACAGGAGGAGAGTATCAAATGTGTGTCTAATTGCCTCCTTTGCCATGAGACCAAAAGAACTGGATAGTGCCTAACCACCATTACTGAACACTTTGATCAAAGATTCCACAGAAGAATCTTTATCAAAAGGGACAGAAATGCAAAACAGAATCTCAGATTCTCAGGGACTCTAGACTTTCTGGAGCCATGGGGATGGATGAATACCAGAAATATTTCCAGAAGAAAATCTTTAATCCTTATGGCCAAAATATTCCCTGATGTACTCTTTCAACGCAACAGTAATTTAGCTTAACTTGTCAAAAAGGTCTGCCTTGAGCATTATGCTCTTTTTAAGAATGATCTATGTGTGATCAAATTGTCACCGACATTCAAAACTTTATATAGTTAACTTGAGGGGCAATGAGCTTATAAAAATAAGGAAAGCATACTCTGAAAATGAGGGTTAGAATATTTGCACAATTCAAAGAATGAAATCAATGTAATTCAATTTTACACATAGGAATTGATGAATTCATGCATGTTTACTATTTATAATGAAAACAATAGCAAAATAAGTGCAATTTGAAGAAAAAAAAATCCAAAGCTATTAAACTTCTTAAAGATAACGTAAGGTAAAATCTAGGTGACCTTGTTTGGCAAATAATTTTTAACTACAACACTAAAAGCACCACCCATAAAATAAAATATTGATAAATTGTATTTCAACAAAATAAACAGCAACAATAACAAACTTGTGTTCTGTGAATATTAAAAGCTAAAGAATATCTTTGCTAAACACATACCTGGAAAGGGACTTACATGTTAATCATACAAAGAATAATAAGAAAGGAAAAAAAATTAATGAACAAAAAATTTGAAATTAAAGATAAAATATATAGAAGTTCTCATCAGCATATGAAAGGATGTTCATTATCTTATGTCATTGGAAATTACAAAGTAAAACAAAAATGTGATGCCACTAAACACCTTTCAAATGGCTACACTACAAAACACAAATAACATCGAATGTTGACTGATAAGGCTTGTAGCAAAAGGAGCATTCATTCATTGCTAGAGGAAATGCAAAATGATATAGTCACTTTGGAAGACGTTTCCCAGTTTCTCACAAAGCTAAACATAGGATTATGACACAATCTAGCAATCGCAATCCTAGGTACTTACCCAAATGAACTGAGAACTTATCTCTACAAAAGAAACACTGTATGAGATATTTAGAACTGATTCACTTAATACTTGTCAAAAACTTGAAACCAAGATGTTCCTCAAGAGATTAATGGATACACAAACAGTGATACAGTCACACAATGGAAACATATTCATCAATAAAAAGAAATGAACTATAAGGCTGCCAAAAGACATGGAGAAACATTAATGCGTATTGCTAAGACAAAGAAGTCTGTCTGAAAATACTACATACTGTATGATTTCAAACATACAACATTATAGAAGGGTAAAACTAGAACAACAATAAAAGCATCATTGATGCCAGTGGTCCTGGAGGAAAGGGAAGGACACATAGGTGGAGGACAGGGATCAGGAAAATGTCCTAAAATTGCACAACACAAAATGTGACTCATAATTTATGAGGGTAGGTAAAAAAGTAGTGATAAAAAAATCACAGAAATATTTATTAAACAAAATCATCAAAGTATGAAACTATTGTTTGTCAACAGCCTCCATTCACGTCTATATACTTCTTTTGAAGGCAGTGCTTCCATTTCCCTAACCCTTTCCAGAAGAAATCTACACTCTTCAATTTGCACTACATCAGATTTCCTTGAAAACCACTGTTTTGATTGGACATAGCTCTCTGGATTGGATTAATAAATACAAGACTTGTCCTTAGATACAATTCATTCCACTAAATTGTATTCGTTAGCTTTTATCTTGCTTAAAAGACTGATGGGAAGATCAGCTCTTGGAGCTGGCTGATTTTTGCACAATGCTTTTGGCCAAGATGTTTACTTAATATTGAAAATACCAAACCATGCAAGAGCCCAACTTCTGTAATTATTGCATTAGTAGTAATTCTTCTGCCACTTTCCAAACTTCAGCCACAGTTCCTTCATTCATCTGAGTTGACAGTTTTCCTTCTTATCTCATCTTTGAGGTATTTTCGACCTTCCTTAAAACACTTGATCTATCTAAAAAGTGTTGTTTTATGTGGGGTACCATTCTGGTAAACGTGTTGTAAAGCTTCTATGAGTTGGTTTTGTTTTTGTTTTTTTTAAAAAAAAAAACACATTTATATTATCCTTGGCATCAAATCACTTTTTCCCCATAGAACAAAAAGTGTCCTTTGTTTGAAGGCACCTTAATGAAGTTTGTTGTTGCTGTGTACCATTGAGTGAGTTCTGACTCACAGTGACCCCTGTGTAGGCTTTCTGAAAGCAGTTGGTGGGTTTGAATAGTGGACCTTACTAGTCTAGTCAGTGCCCATCCTACATTGCCACACCAGTGCTCCCAGTGAGACTAACACAAGTGTTAGTGAGAGTACTGTAGTCATTCATGGATGCAGATATATTTTCAAACATGGTTTGTTTGGAATTAACCCATGTATGTATAAACTGGAACTCTAGTAGCAATACTATTTCAATTTCCTTCACAAACTCTGCACTTTAGTTAATGGTAATATATGAATACTGGTTCACCAATTGTTATCAATGCACTACACTAATACAAAACCCAGAAATCGCAGCTGACAGCCATTGAGTCAATTCCAATTCAGAGCACCCTAGCAGATTGCAACATATTTCTTCCACAGATGGGTTTGAACTTCTGACCTTTTGATTAGCAACCAAGTGGTTTATCCACTGTGCCACCAAGACATTTAATAAGAGAAACTGTGTGGGTGGAGGAGGGGCTATTTGGGGATACTCTGTACTTTCTGTACAAATTTCCTAAAGCCCTAAACTGTTTAAAAATAATAGCTAATAAATGTTTAAATAATCTTTATATTGCTAGAGACATTTATGTCACTGCTTTTCTCTTTAATTTCTACTCACTTGTAATCAAAATATAACAATTGAATGTTTAATACTCTACAATTTATTTGGGATACAGAGCAGTCCACTCAATTTATCTGTGATTTTAATGATGACAAATTATGGCTTCAGTTGCTACCATTTACAATTGGCATCTTAAGTTTTGAACAGGAGCTTTCAAGAGAAAAGTACTTAGCATAGGAGATATGCCCTAAGGAGCTCTAGTAGCATAGTGGTTATGAATCGGGCTGAGAACAGCAAGGTCAGCAGTTCAAAACTACCAGCTGTTCTGCAGGAGAAAGATGAGGCTTTCTGCTCCCGTAAAGATTTATAGCCTCGGAAACCCTGTATCCCAGAAAGCCTGTACAGGGTAGCTATGAGTTGGAACTGACTCCACGGCACATAACAACAACAACATGACCTAATTAATGTGAAATTGGAAAATATTTTCCAGTATATTGAAGGCAAAATAAAACTAAAGCTCTATATGTAAATAATGACCTCTCTGGCCTACCAAGACTAATAGTCCTTTGCAGAACGTGTTCCGATGTTTAGATTCCATAATATCTATCATATTGCATTCTATAAAGACACTTGCTGAATAAATTATAGGATCTGCTATAAACAGCCAACAACATAATTCAGTTCAGATAAGTTATTTTAAGATTCACTTACTCATTAAATATATATTGAGTACTTACAGTTAATAAATAATATTCAGATAAAAATGCTACACATAATTTATTTAATACTTATAACAGATGAATGAAAAAGTAGATATGCTTAACAAAATATTAATGTTGAGGATTGATGGTGAAGAAAGCATAATAGCTAATCTAATAACAGTTTACAAAATAATACAAACCAGAGATAAATCTGAAGTTTTTACCAGTTAAAATATATGAATACATTTATAATTTTATCAACTTTTCTGAATTTGATTTAAAAAAAAAAATCCTACTTAAAGTAGTGTGACACTGTAAGATAAACTCTTGACCATAAGGTCAGTTTGAACTCCAAGGTTGGCAGTTCAAACTCACCAGTCACTTCTCAGAAACCCTATCAAGGGTCACTAAGGTTCAGAACTGATTTGAAGGTACTTAGGCCACTTTGGGTTGGAACCGACTCGACAGCACTTAATAACAACAAAGTAATTATATGTGAGTGTGGTGGCTCTGTAGATACAAAATGGACTTTGAAACACAAAGTGGGTGGTTTGAGCACACCAGCTGCTCAGCAGGAAGAAAAATGAGGTTTTCTGCTCCCTAGAAGATTTGCAACCTAGAAAATCCCATACAGGGTTGCTATGAGTCTAAACCAGTTTGGCAGCACTTGTAGCACTGCGGGTTAATGAGCCAGTCTGCAAAGCCATTTGAACTGCAAGGTCGACGGTTCAAGCTCACCAGAAGCTCCTTGGAAACCATATACAGGGTCACTATGGGTTGGAACTGGTTCGACAGCACTTAACAACAACAACAACAAAAAGTAATTAGGTCATCTCAATAGTTTATTACACTATGCTCAGCTTCTCTAACCTTTATTTATGTGACACTCCCATTCTCTCTGAAATTGGATTTAAACAACCCATATATTTTTTACTAAATATAGGCAAATTGTTTACTACTTGCACACACATTTCCCATTAATTTATCTATTATAATAAATTAATTTATCTTCTATAATTATAAATAATACATTTCATTTATATATGACTAGAAATGTCGTTAGGTGCCACTGAGTGGATACCAACTCATAGTAATACTAGGTCCAACAGATTGAAACACTGTGGGTCCCGCACCATCCTTACAATTATTGCTATTATTTGATGCGACTGCTGCAGCCCTGGTGTCAATCCATTTTGTTGAGGCTCTTTCTCTTTTTTGTTGACCCTCTATTTTACCAAGTATGATGTCCTTCTCTAGAGACTGGTCCTTCCTGGTAACATCTCCAAAGTACATTAGACAAACTCTCACCATTCTTCCTTCTAAGGAGCATCCTTACTGTGCTTCTTCTAACTTCTGACAAAGATTTGTTCATTCTACTGGTGGTCTGTGGTATACTTAATATTCTCTGCCAACACCACAATACAAATGCATTAATTCTTCATCTGTCTTTCTTATTTATTATCCAACTTCCCCCTGTATATGAGGTAATTGAAAATACCAGGGCTTGGGTCAGATATATCTTCACCTATGAAGTGTTATCTTTGATTTTTAAGAATTTAAAGATACCTTTTACAACATATTTGCCAAACACAATACACTGTTTGGTTTCTTGGTTGTTGTTTCTGTGGGCATTGTGGATCCAAGTAAAATGAGAATCTGCAGTTATCAAGATTGCTTATCCAGCTGTGAGAATTTTTGTTTTCTTCACCATTGAGGTGCAAACCATATAATACAAAATATTTATCAGGAAATGTTTCAAATCCTCTTCATTTTCATCAAGCAGGAGGGCCATCCGTTTATCTCAGATTGTTAATGAGACTTTCTCTGACCATGATGTTGCATCGTTCTTCATACAGTCCAACTTCCTGAATTATTTGCTGAGCACACAGGTTGAATAAACACAGTGAAAGGATACAACCTGATGCACACTTTTTCTGATTTTAAACCATACAATATTCCCTTGATACAGATTCCAAATGAACAAAATGAAGTGTTTTTGAATTCTCATTCTTTGCAATGTTATCCACAATTTGTTATGATACACAGTCATATAGATGCCTTTACACTGTCAATAGAACACAGGTGAACATCTTTCTGGAATTCTCTGCCTTTTGCTAAAGAGCCATCTGATAACAGCAATGAAACCCTTTGTTCCATACCCTCTTCAGAATCTGGTTTCAATTTCTGATAGTTTCCTTTCAATGTATTGCTGCAACTGTTCTTGAATTATCTTCAGCAAAATTTTACTTGTGTCTGATTTTAATAATATTGTTTGATGATTTATATATTCTGTTGGAGTAAACACAAAAATGGATCTCTTCTAGTCAGTTGTCCAGGTAGTTGACTTAAACACTTCTAAGTGTCTACAATGCTGCCTCTGTTTGTTGAAACATTTAAAAAATGGTATTCTGTCAACTAGAGGAGTCTTGGTTTTCATTGATATTTCCTTTAGTGTAGTTGGACTTCTTCCTTCATTATCATTGGTTCTTAATAATATGCAACCTACTGAAATGGTTGAATGTTAGCCAGTTCTTTTTGGTACAGTGATTCTGTGTATTTTTTCCATCTTCCTTTGATTATTCCTGTATTATTCAATATTTTGCTCATTGTTGTTGCTGTTGTTAAATGCGGTCTAGTTGGCTTCAACCCATAGTGACCCTGTATAGGGTTTTCAAGGAGTACCTGGTGAGCTTGAGCTACCGACCTTGCAGTATTTTGTCCATATAATCCTTCAATATTTCAATGCTAGGGTTGAATTTTTTTCTTCAGTTCTTTCAGCTTGAGAAATGTTGAGCCTGCTCTTCAGTTTTGGATTTGCTAACTCCAGGCCTTTGCATGTGTCATTACAACACTTTACTTTGTACTCTAGAGCTACCCTTGGAAATCTTTTATTCAGCTTTCTTAATTCATCATTTCTTACTTTTGCTTTAGCTATTCTACCTTTGGACTCCTAGTTTGATGTTGTAGGATCAGCACTGAACTGCAAACCACAAGATCAGAAGTTCAAACCTACCATCTGCTCCTTGGAAACACTGTACAGGGTTTCTATAAGTCAGAACCAACTCGACAGTACTTAATAACATTCCACCTTCAAGAGCAAGTTTCTTAGTCTCTTCTAATATCGATTTTGGGCCCTTGTTTTCTATATTATGTTTTTAATGACCTTTTGCTTTCTTCATGTATAATGCCCCTTGTGTATGATGATCTCACAACTTACCTTGTCCTCATTCATGAGTAATTAAGGTTGTCTTTTGGTGCTTGTTGACCTGTTTTAACTTTCTTCAGCTTCAACTTGTACTTGCACATGAGCAATTGATGTTCTAAGAGTTTTGTAGTCAACTCCCAGTCTTATTCTGTCTGATGATATTGAGTTTCTACATCCACTCTTTCCCCAGATATAACTGATTTTACATCTGTGCATTACATCCAGCTATGTACATGAACACAGTTTCCATTTATGCTATTAACTGAATAATTGTGCAGGAGGAATTCCAAGCTGCACTGAAGGAAAGTATCAGTGAAAAAAGGCATTTGCAATGAATAAGTCATTGGTCTTAACAAACGTCTATCATGCAATCTCCTGGAGTGGTGCTATGGGTTAATGCGCCACACTGCAAAGCCATTTGGACTGTAAGATTGGCAGTTCAAGCTTACCAGCTCCTCCTCGGAAACCCTATACAGAGTCACTATGGTTTGGAATCGACTCAATGGTATTTAATGACAACAACCTGAGAAGCTCATCTTCTGGCCTGATATCACACAATATTCTACTGCTAGTTATAAGGTTTTCAGTGACTAAATTTTTCAGAAGTGGTTCACCTGTTCCTTCTTCTTTGTCTATTCTAGTTTGGAAACTCTCCTGACTGACCCAGCTGGTATCTGAAATACCGCTGACCTAAATTCTAGCACTACAGTAACCTGCAAGCACCATAGTATGATGAACAGACAGGAAGTAGTGGATAATTAGAAATACTGCACATAGTTTGAGTTGCTTGACTAATATGTGAAAAGTCTCATGTGTATACAAGTCATATAAATGGTGCAAAAATAGAAAAATTAGAATAGTTGAATTATTTGAAAGGACTTGTAATTACAAATAATAAGGAACTAAAAAGCTTGAAAAAACATAATAATTTTTTTCCATATACAATTTGCACACCTTATACTAAAGAAATGGAGTCCTGGTGTGGTGCTGTGGGTTAATGCACCAGACTGTAAAACTGTTTGAA